TAATGCACTAAGTTATGTATCTTAGTGTAGTCTACTTGTGTGCCAAGTTATATTGAGATCAAATCAAAACTATGTAGGAGGAGTAGTGTTTAAAGGAATATCACAGAAATTTCTATTTTTAGTAATGAAATATATGGAGATAACGAACAGTATTCAAGCTCAAAAGTCCATTAAACAATACGCCGTGCGCTCCTTGTCATGATCGGGAAATAACGGGAAAATCCGTCGACAATTCAGTTTGTAAATAATGGAATAACAATTAGTACGAAAAACGTCAGTCAGCATTTGACTCAATGATAAGTTGTATTTGCTGACAAGGTCAATGTATCGACCATAGAACTTACGAAATGATGACTTTAAACGAGACTGCTAAAATTCTTGTTTCAGCAACTTGTTTGTCAATAATTTACCTCGTTATAGAAATTGTACATAAGTAGAGCATGCTCTTGCGTATCGAATCAACTGAGAGATATAAACCCCGTATGCAGGTGATGAAGGTATATTGCTGCATAAGTAAGGGAAGTTGACGATTGAAAAGTTAAAGTCATCACGTTTGCCATTAACGTCTTTTTCAAGTAAAATATCCAAATATGAAACAGATGTATCAGACTCTGTGGTATCTTTTATCTCAAGCTCATCAGGATATATCGTATCGACATAAGAATGGAAATAACCACTGTTAATTGACAATATGTCGTCGATATATCTAAATGTCGAGTTGAAAACCACAGCAAGGGTTTTCTTCTTTTCACGTATAAGATTTTGGACAAATTCTGCTTCATATGAATACAAAAATAGGTCTGCTAATAACGGAGCGCAATTGGTACCCATGGGAATTCCAATAGATTGTTGGAAGACCTGGTCTCCAAAAGCCACATAGATATTGTCAATCAGAAATTCAAGCATCTTTTTAATGTCAACTTCAGAGTACTTGTGAGTACAATCAGAATGTTTTTTAACAAAATAAGTTTGCAAATGACCAATGACAAGGTAAGTAAATTTACGTCTTCCATTTTTATTGAAAAAGCAGCTGTCAATGATATCAAAAAGCTTGGACTTTAATTTATGATGGGGAATGGTTGTGTATAAAGTTGAAAAGTCGTAAGTTTTCAAGCTGTTGATTTTGGTAAAATCTTGTGATTTCAAATTTTCCAAAAGTTCCTTGGAATTCTTAAGTATCCACATCTGGTTTACACCACTTCTCGAATATATTGTTGCACAGTATTCTTGAAGTTTCTCCCTCACTACTGTTGATATCTTAGTGAGGAATAGAAAGAGGCTTGGTTGAACATTTACTGGAACCCGCTATGTAACTTTGTTTGTAAGGATTTTTATGAATTTCGGAATCCAATATAGATATGGTAATTCAAATTCATTTTGGTTGTTTGGAATATTAAAAAATATTCAAAACTGACATATGATTTTAAAGAACTTCTTCCTTAGAAAGGGAACTATGAGTATAAGTTGGATAACCACTTGTAGAATTAAATCCAAGTTCCTCTAAAATACATTTAATATAATGAGCCTTACAAACAAGGACAATATTGTTATTTGCTTTGTCAGCAGGGACCAGCACGTACTGATCATGTAATCTATCTAATTCTTTTTTCACTTCTGGATTATTGAATACAGAAGGATAGATGGTTCTCATATTGCCCCTCAATCTTTTAATGCGCGATTTTAACATACATCTGATACATTTAATCCATTCTGACAAAGTGTCAAGGTCTTTATTTTCATGTCTGTTCCATCGCCAGGTGTAATCCTCTACAGAATCCATAATATTTATGAAATTCCGACGCAAGTTGAAGGATCGGGGTTCCCTATATTTAGGACCTTTTAAAATTAGTGATCTAGGGTCCTCATTATTAACTATATTTACGTCACCAGTAAAAACGTGTCCAGCAGGACTATAGTTATAGGGTGAAGAAGAACATGAACACGATGGAGGATTATGCTTCAGATATTCGATATCCAGGCCCTGTAAAGTTTTCTTGTATTTAAAAAGTTTGGAAGCAATAGTCGGTGTATATTTGTAGGAAATACAAGGTGTAGTCTTTAACTTGAAATATGGTGGAATACAAGACTGGACCCTTTTGTGATTAAGAATATTACTTATATTAACCGCGTCAATTCCTTTGTTGGCATATTGAAATTTAAGGAAAAACGGATTGTTTTAGCTGCATTCTCTTCAGTAAAAAGTGGGGGTTTAAAAAGCCTATGATTTGCAATATCCATAATCACAGATCCGAGCCCATATTCTGCTGTCGAGGAATTAAAAAATGGACTTTCCTTGACCTTTCCAAGAAGACTATTTAACAGTTTTAAAGGGACAGAGTAAAGTTTGGGGCGAATATGATCTAGACCTAACTGTTGATTTACGTAAGGTAGTAATGAATCAAAAGAGTTGATCCTTACGTCACGGGTTCGAATCCCACCGTGGGTCTTGGAGACCGGTCCTTCGGATGAGACCGTGTAAACGAAGTCCCGTGTCGCAGTAGGTGCTGGCACGAAAAGGATCCCTCACTGCTGAATGGCCCTGAGTGCCGAGCATACCCGTAGGTCAAAATTTGCAGCTCTTCACCGGCAAGTGGTGGCGTCTCCATATGAGTGAAAAATTCTCGAGAGGGACGTTAAACAACAAACAAACGAAACAGAAATTTCTATTTTTAGTAACCATTGCAACACTGCTCAACAAAATATAAAACCGATGCATTGAATGATGTATCTTAGTGTTGTCTACTTGTGTGCCAAGTTATATTGAAATCAATCCAAAACTGTAGGAGAAGTAGTGTTTTGAGGGAATTTCACATAAATTTCTATTTTCAGTAACCATGGCAACCAACACCGTTAAACAAAATCAAAAACTGATGCACTAAGTTATGTATCTTAATATAGTCACTTGTGTGCCAAGTTATATTGAAATCAGAACAAGACAGTAGCGTTTTGAAAAATTGTTTACAGACAGACAGATTGACGACGGACACCTTACTATCGCATAAGCTCTTCTGGTCTCTGACAAGTAGAACTAAAAGTACACACTTATAATGTACACATTACTTTATTATTGGATAATAGAGGAGTAATGTTTAAGACGAATTTTTTTCCGTTATTTCCCGGTCATGACAAGGAGCACACGGCGGCTGTGACCGGTCGACAGGGGATGCTCATTCCTCCATGACACCTGATCCCATCTCTGATGTTTTAGAGGTCCATGTTTTCTCTGCTCCAAAATTTGTATTGTTTAATGGACTTTTGAGCTTGAATACTTTTCGTTATCTCCATATATTTCAATACTCTAATTTATTACAAATTGTGTAATCTTCTGTTTGTAGATTCCCATTTACAGTAGGTATTGGCACGAAGATCCCTCACTGCTCAACGGCCCTGAGTGCCGAGTATAGGTATAAATTTGCAGCCCTCCACCGGCAGGTAATGACGTCTCCATACGAATGAAAAGGACAACAAACGGTGTACCGGGGTATATTTTTTTTTATATTTAAGTTCAGATCACATTAACTGCATAAACTATCGTCCAATTATAACCCTTAAGTGTGCAGTGATTACAGCTTCCTTAAACGTGCTATAACATTGTTTAAATTTCGTAAAAAAGATTTTTGAATGGTGACGATATGTGAATGAATTTAAAACCCCCCACAAAGCATATCTTTAAATTATAATGATTTGTACTGTCGGGCTTGAACAATAATTGGAGTATTTTGGCAATAATTTTACCGGTTTTTTTTTTTCTTGCTTGAATTTTCCCTCTATGTTGCTTCAAGCAATTTTCGAAAATTAATCATCGCCATACGATCACAACTTTTGAAAGAAATATAGAACGTAACTTGCCCTTTACTTACATTTTACATTTCATCTTACCTTGATATGTACAGCAAAAGTGAATTGAAACTGTAAAATTGTGCCATACTGAATCTTTTTGGAACATCTCAAAAAAGATGTATCATACTAAATACTAGATATGTAGGAGACTACATTTAGAGGAGTTAACGTTTATCTATTTTTATTATTATTATTATTATTATTATTATTTTCTTTTTTTGAGGTCCAAACAAGAAAACAAGACAATATTCACTTTTTATATGCAATTATCTGGTGTAACTGAAATGAAGGTTACTAGCCGTATTCGCCTATATAAACTTCTAATTCACGTGTGCAGATATCATTTATAGATACTTTTATCTATGCTTATTAAGATTAAATTATAAATAACATCCATATAATGCATTTATATTTATCGGTTTTTAAGATCCTAGCCTTAGTTATATCATGAATTTGTATTTTCCGTCAATGGATCTACACATTACAGCTTTCTTGACCACGCGTACTTTATATTACACTGTAATAAATAACAATACAGTATCTATGTCATAATAATAACTTTCATATTACAAAATGTAAAAAAAAAAAAAAAAAAAAAAAAAAAAAAAAAAATCTAAAAACAGGGATTTTTTTTTATTTACAGTGCTTAAAACCCATGTTGTCAAGCATTTTGATTGTAGTTTTTTCTATGTTTTGCTGGTATATATATGGAGCTTGATTGATTTGTCATTTTTTCTAAGAGCATCTTTCCAATCTATTTCTTAGGTGTTAATTGTTTTTATTATCTCGAATCATGATAGATACCCTATCGTTTAATCTGAATAGTGCCGAACAACAATATAACATTTAAATAATTAGCATTCTCATCTAACCTTTCGACATAGAGTTTGCAATGAAGAATAGACATGTGATCTAACGTCATATCAAGGTATTCATCCAATAATAGATGCCTTCCTTAGCCTGCGCAGTTAATTTCAAACGTGTCGTAGGCGCTGAGTGTTCAGAATCCGTTCACATTTCATATAAAATGGTTCACGACTCAGATAAGCTTCTTTAGCACTGTTGATGTCCAAACAATAAGACGATTCTTGAGCATTAGATATGAACTGTTCCATGTTACAGGCATTTGTACATCTTCAGTAGCATCATATAAATTAAGAATGCATTGTCAAACAACAATCAAGTGCCTCGTTTTCCTTGTATTTTTACCTGGAATATTTGCCTTTTTTTGGGAAAAGGAATATAAACAGAGACCGGAGAGACAAACATATACCATTTTGCAAGATTTACTGAAAGGTAAGAACAATTTTTGAATGAAAGTATTTGGCTAAATGTTCCGGCACAAATTTTTATACATAGAGAAGGACAATTATCTATGTCTGTTATTGCAACTAATAGAATGTCATCTGAAATTGACCTTCCTCCAGTTCCATGGCAATGGCAACTATTTTGAATGTTACTTGGTGATTATCATTGCTTTTAATTTTCTGAAAAATGTCCGAGCCAGCTGCAAGGGTTCTTGTGGACAAATTAGTTGGAACAATAACAATATCACCACCTACTACGTTCGGGTTGAAATACATGTAATAAAGCAAAATATGTAATGAGAAAGAATAAATAATTAGATGTGTTGAAAGAGAAGAAAAATTTTATAATATATAGAAAAATACACGAAAATAAACGTTTGTCTAGAGAAGCAAACTTAGGCAACATAGGCTGAGCTGAGGCTATAATGACAATTGTAAACTTGACAGATGTTTAGGAAACCAATCAGAATAGAATTATCAATGTCATATTTTGATATGTATGTATTTAAATTTTGTATTCCATCTCAACTGTTCAATTGCAGAATCAAGGTCCAGGCATTTGTATCCAGAACAAGCTCAATATATCACCACAGTCAAAAGAGGTAATATTTTCTCGAGTTTATATCTTTTGTAGGATATTGCACTTTTGATTTATGTATGGCATTTAAGTCAATTTTTAGGAATCCCATTTCGGACCTATGAAAATATTTTTGAATTCCATATCACGTATTAAAACGAATTTTATTCATTGTATGAATTTTTGGAATTCATTATAACGAATTTAATCTGTTATAACCAATTTATTGAATGCGTTAAAAGAATTCCTTTTTTTTTAAATAACGAATTAAATTCGTTTAAGCGAATTCGACATTTAGAACCTAATAGAAAAATATTGATATATTCGATATAATAAATTTAATGTGTATAACAATTTTGGACGAATGACCTGATAAACAAATCTGTCATATCAAATTTAATTCGTTATATGGAATTTAAAAAATGTTAAATCGAGTTTAATTCGTTGAGACTAATTCGGCAATTCGTTATATCGAATTAGAAATATTTTTTTAGGTTCCTGATAGGTTTCCGTATATTTTAAAGATTCCACAACAATATATCCCAATTGTACGTTTATTGTTCAAGCTTCTTTATTCTTAATAATTAATAATCTGCTTGCAGTTTTCATTATCTCTGTCAAACAAATCATAAGATTATTAATCAAATTGATACAGGTAGATTCCATTTTTGAAAAGGACTTTCTTTTTATTTTAATAAAGTGTCATTTTTCACCAAGAAATAAAAATAATTGTTGAGATATTTAGTTTCTAAAGAACTCATAATTTCACTTGTATCATATCTTCCCCATTCTCTTTTATTGTCTCATAAAACTAAATGGAAAACAAGCCACTTGATATCAGAGATGTATCTTAAGGACATTCCCTCTCTTCTCTCTTTATACTTCAATTACACGAGAAACACAGCAATAAAAGATCCTGCTTCATAATCTGACATTTATGGAGTCTAAAAGAGAACTATCTGGCTTAGGTTATGTATTAATGTCTGATATGAGGGAAAAAACAAATAAATTAATAAAATACAAATTACCTTATTGATACATTTCAAATTTCATACTATTTTACTTTTACTTTTTGATTTGACGGTTTTTTCCCCTCAAATGTTGGATGTAGAGCCTCATACACACAACATTGGATGTATTTAAAGGGACAACTAATATACATGTACATACATGTATAAGATTACTCATCAGTCATCAGCACTTCCAATGAGATATATAACACTCAATATGATTGTGGCCGATATTTTGTGTTGTAATGCTAAACCGATATCCTGGAGGCAAAATCGTACAATTCTACTCTATTTCCTTTTATCTTTTAAAGTTGATTCCGTGTTAGTTGCCAATATTTGAAGCATTTGCTGCAGGTCTGGTCTTTTCGATCCAGATTTCTCCTGTTTGTTCAATTGACCGTGAAAAAAATCTTTCAAGCTATAACATCAGAAAAACACAAAGAGAATAGCAATTTGTTTGATTTGTCATTCCAGGGGACAGATACAGCATTAACGATCTCATCGCTTACCTTAAAGGCATGGTCGGAAGTGACGAAATATACCACACCGGAAAATCGACATATGTTCGTTGGGGAGCAGGGGGCTAGAAGCCAGAGAAAGTATATATCAATGGCAAAATATTTATCACCTGCAAATACACGTAATAGAAATATACTAATTCCGCATCAGTTAGGTTATATGGTCTCCAATTATATCTAGAAAATAAATACGACAGAGAAATGTGCTTTAAAAGTTCATGATGGATTGAAATGATAAGCTATATTTCAGAAAATTTAATTACAGCTAGTGCTTTAGTTCCTAAAAAGTTGAAAAAATTACAAGAGACTGACAGATTCGTAATAAGAATCAATATCATAAATTGTTTATACTTATGATAGCATGAAGAAATAAATTTAAATCAATCACTGATTTACTTTGTTTCAATTTCTCTATCATTGTATATGTGTATACCGTTATATATGCAATGGCATGTCTGATTAACTTTACTCCATATTCTCTATTTCTCCTTATTTATGTAGCAATATTCCGCTATCACCTGAATATAGTGATTGCGTCTCCAAACTTATTCGATACCCAAGAGCATAGCCTGAGTAAGATCAATTTTTAAACCATGCAGCCTACTGACAGATAAGTTGATGTTACATAGATATCAACAATTTCGTTCAAAGTCAGTATTTCGTAAATTTTATGGTCGCTTAACTAGCTTTAATAGCCTTGTTAGCAAATATAACATATCATTGGGTCTTATTTTGACTTACTTATTTCATACCAATTGTTAGCCTTTGTTTTTACATATATATACTTACATTGACTACGGAATTTTTCGTCTACCTGATCCATACATAGGGCTCATCCCGGGTATGACAGGTTAACAGGGGATGCTTACTCCTTATAGGCACCTTATCCCTTCTCTGGAATTTCCCGGGGTCTGTGTTTTATGCCTTGTTGACAGATTTGTATTTTTTGTACATTTTTTAAAGATCGATCACTGTTCGTTATCTTCACTATTTTTATGATATATCACAGGTGAAATAGATGTTTAACTTTCCGGCAACAATAAAACATAATGTTAACGATGGAATAGCACTTAAGGCAAGGATGAGCCAGGAAACCAGGCTAGGAACCCTGGTAGCGAAGGAATTCTGGGAATGTATGTACAGATTTCATTCCGAATTTCCTCTGTTCTTGCACGTTAGTCTATTGAACTCTCTTCGAAAGCAGCGCTTCGCGCTTCTCGTTATAACTGGCTATTAAACATTTTCGGAATCTCAGACACCCGACAGCAGACTTCGGACTACGGACTTTTCAGATAAGGGAAAGTGTCAAAACATAATTTAGATAAAATGAATATTTTTTTTTTGAAGTCTTGATTATCGATATATACATTTTGTTTATATTTGTATGATTAAAACCACCATACACTGTGAACACATTTACGAAGTGTGGGTATGTGTGTGTTGGGGGGGGGGGGGGTCCCTCACTTGTCCGAGAATTATAATAATAATGTAACGCTCTATTCCCAAGAGATTGTTCGAATTTATAAATTTTAATTTACCACCCTTTTCCAACAAACCATGGGTCAAGGTCTACGACTAAAAAAGCAGTAAATGGCGTCCTCAAAAAAAAATGTTTTGTTGATTTAAAGAAAAAATACCTGGTCTAGGGGGGGGGGGGGGGACATTACCCCATGTCACATACATGTCACAAACATATCATTTACAACTTTTTTCATACCCTATCATACGCGTTACTTGAATTTTTTTATGCTGGTCACCGAATTTTCCTTAAATATACATATACGGCATTTGGCATCCATATTCAACTCTGTTTCCTTCAATAAGTGGGTTATCATAGGATCCACATGTATTTGAAAGGAGAGGGTGAAGAGAAAATAATATTTACGAACCAAAGCAAAGAGCTTTGAACTACACTCGATTATATAACTCTAATTTCAATATTTTTTTCTTTTAAAATATAACTGAATATCATATTCTACGGACGCGTATTAGGGCCGCAGCAGTATCTTTTATTAATTTGTTATAACAAATTATTAATTTGTTATAACAAATTATCAATTTGTTATAACAAATTAGCAATTTGTTATAACAAATTACTATTTTTAATAAAATGAAGGTGTATTCAGATCTACGGAAGCCAGATCGGATCAGAAATCTTATTAAAAGTTGGATTTGTGAAAACAATAAATATGTAAGTTCTGCAGCTACAGCTTTTGACCAATTATGTTGATATGTTAATCTGGATTTACATCTTTTAGCACTTAGTTTTATACAGTCAAACATTATTATTATAAAGATACAATGCATCAAATTCTTTGGTTCCTATAATTGCTTATTCTTAGGAGCTTCAATTGAATTTTGTCCTTTCTTGCTCCCCCCCCCCCCCGGCTTCGTCCTTGACTCCCATCTACCAGGTCATAGCATCCCCACATGTACCAAATGATGATCTACTTTACATACTGCTTTTCAATTTTTAAATGTACCATTAATTTTATGCATGTGTGTACCGAGACAAATGGAGAGAGTGATTATAGGTATTTATGCCTACTGTTCAATCCAGTGTATGTATAATGAATAAAATATATTTTAAACTAAACCGCCGTTCCTAATGCAAAAACCTGAATCTGCTCCTCTGGTGAACCTCCTTGGCCCCAATTTACGCTGGGGGCAATAAAGGCAACATTGACAAAAATGAATTTGTAGATAAATTATCACAGAAAAAATGATAAACACTCCGTAACAATCTTCTCTGAAAACGAAAATAAACAATATTCTTGAGTGGGTAGTACTTGGTAAAATTTTGATTTAGATACCTTGTGTTATCTTTTCATGTATGTATGTAATTTTTACAATCAAAATAAGCGCCTTTTGGAAAAACCCTCAAAGTCCCACCAAAGCCTTCATAACTTATTATTGGCTGAAAACTTTGACAGTTGTTTCTTCAAATTCATTTGTAATTTGTATCCTGGTTGCCTCATATGGGACTACTCATACATTTTACAAGAAATCGGTAAGCAATATAATTTTGTTATAACAATTCACACAAAATATTACACATGTGTAAAGAAGGAAAAATTAGATCTTCTCCCCTGCTGACCCCTGTGTTGACTTTGAAAAAAAAAATCCATTCCAATGTTAATTTCAATGGACGACATTGAAATCATATTAAATTGTCTCAATAGGAAGGATCCAACATTCTATATTTCTTCTACATAATCCCTGGGATGCAGCTATTCTTTTAATTGTCTAACAGAGACATTTATTCCAAGAAACCGACTCAAAACAGAAACAACAACAACAAAACATAACAAAAATTAAAAAAAAAAACCCTGCAATTTCGGTAACAATTTAACCAATATAAAGTGCTTTAATCTAACTTGCAATTTGATCTAAATCCATATTAACTGATCTGGCTTCCGTAGATCTGTATACACCTTCATATTTTGTCAAAAATAGTAATTTGTTAAATCAAATTACTAATTTGTTATATCAAATTACTAATTTGTTATATCAAATTACTAATTTGTTATATCAAATTACTAATTTGTTATATCAAATTAGTAATTTGTTATAACAAATTAGTAATCTGTTTTAACAAACTAGTAATCTGTTATAACAAATTAATAATTTGTTAAAACAAATTACTAATTTGTTATATCAAATTGATAATTTGTTATATCAAATTGATAATTTGTTATATCAAATTATTAATTTGTTATAACAAATTAGTAATCTGTTATAACAAATTAGTAATCTGTTAAATCAAATTACTAATTTGTTATATCAAATAAGTAATTTGTTATATCAAATTAGTAATTTGTTATAACAAATTAGTAATCTGTTTTAACAAATTAGAAATCTGTTATAACAAATTAATAATTTGTTATAACAAATTAGTAATTTGTTAAAACAAATTAATAAAAGATACTGCTGCGGCCCTAATACGCTTCCGTAATATTCTCATTAATATTGGATGAGCCAGGCGTGCTTCAATTTAGGCAAGTATCTAAAATCTGGGGCCTCCGCTGGATCCAGGAAGCTTAGATTCTGGGAATTTGAAAAACAGACTTTTTAATACAAAATGCATTAATTTATTTTAAGTTCGCATCGACGCATTACAATGAAGAATGTGTATTTAGATCTTGTCCATTATTATAATGTAGTTTGAATTATCGGGGGAATTGCATAAACACTATCAGTCTTATATACATGGATATAATAGTTCATGTTCAACAAAGAAACGCCTAAATTATGCTAAAAGTTATTCAACATTTTGCGCGTATATGTATTATCTTTCTCAATTATTTTATATCTTCAAATAATAGAGAAGAAATTTTCATTATTATTTTCATTTTGAGTAATTAAAATCACTCAAGGAAATCAGCCTAGCAATAAACTTTCTTTATGATTCAAATCGAGTATTTTGCTTGCATTTCCTCGTTCTTGATCAAGCCAGATATATTGCAATATGCTAAAACTATTTTTCAACACTCTTTTTTTATATCCGATTTATTTTAAACAAGTAAAAAGTGTTTACTGGTTTCTATATTCAATTTATTTTAACCGAGCCGATGTGAATAAATGACAAAATCACTTATTTTCCTATGTTCCATGTACACTTGAGAGAAATCGAAATTTTTGATCGACTGCATGAGGTTGGACTAAACAAGGTCGGATAAATCTTTAAAATTCAATTTACACAAGTCTCTCCTTTTCACCACATCTACCTTTTTTGAAAATGTTTTTTTGTTTTTATTTGCACAAAAATAGAGGAGAGTGCAACCGCCGTAACCCCCTCTGGATCTATAGCTGCATATCATGTATAGATATATATTAATCAAGATCAATTCATGCACTTATTTGTTTGTAAGATGTCCCAAAATCAATTCTTTTTTAATTTCTACCAATCTCTACAGCTATGACATTGTTTATTATTTTATCTTCATTCAATTTCAATAGATGTAGGAGATACTGAGAAAAAAAATTCTCAGTACAGTACACACATGTTAGTAAATTTGAAAACGTATTTCTATACGTTCCCCGCAAGTCTTCTATTGTTTGCAGTCCGCTGTCCGTAGTACGTTGTCAGATGTCTGAGATTCCGAAAATGTTCATTACCACAATGAGCATGAATGAAAGATGGCTTGAACAAATAACCCAGTAACTTGAATAAATCAGTTTAAGGCGACACATTAGAGGTGTTGAAATAATTATGTTTTCACAAATACTTCTTTTTAAAAACAAAGTCGAAAGAACTTGTCACAAAAATGTATCACAAAATATACTTGTTATA